CAGCGTGGGGCCATAGGGCGGGACGTTGGGATGCGCTATGGGGCCGTGCGATGGGAAATCAAGGCGTGCTATGGGGATGTGCAGATGCCCCTCCTTCCCCACCCCCCCCGGTTTGGGGCCATTAGGCATCAACATTTCCCCTGTAGGGCAGAAGGGCTTTGGAACAGGGAGCATCGTAGATATAGGGCCACGACCCCACTGTTGGGCCCATGGATGTCCCCTGAGGGGTGGGTTGGGGGTACTGGGGCCATCCTGGTGCTCACCCAACCCACAAGGATGGGGTGGCTGTGGGGTCACGTGAGGCTGCATTGTGCTGTGCAAAGGGGAACTGAGGCACAACGTGAGAAGGAAAGGGAGGGGATGGGGAGGGTGGAAGGGGTGTGTGGGTGAAGGGGTGGTGGGATGGTGGGGAGGGGGGTGATGGGATGGGAAGGAATAGGATGGGGTGGGATGGGATGAGAGGTGTGGGGTGGGATAGGATGAAATGGGATGGGATGGAAAGGAATAGGATGGGATGGATTAATGGGATGAGATGAGATGGGAGAGGATGGGTGGGATGGGATGGAATAGGATGGGATGGATGGAATGGGATGATGGGATGAGAAGGAATAGGATGGGATGGGATGAAGTGGGATGAAGTGGGATGGGGTGGAAAGGAATAGGATGGGATGAATGGGATGAGATGAGATGGGAGGGGATGCGTGGAATGGGATGGAATGGAATGATGGGATGGAGTGGGATGGTGGGATGAAGTGGGATGGGGTGGGAAGGAATAGGATGGGATGGATGGGATGAGATGAGATGGGAGGAGATGGGATGGGATGATGGGATGAGAAGGAATAGGATGGGATGGGATGAAGTGGGATGAAGTGGGATGGGGTGGGAAGGAATAGGATGGGATGGATGGGATGAGATGAGATGGGAGGGGATGGGATGGGATGATGGGATGGAGCGGGATGATGGGATGGGATGATGGGACGAGAAGGAATAGGATGGGATGGGACGATGGGTTGGGATGGGCCTTTGTGGATGGGCAGAAGGAAGGATGGAGGGGGAACGGAAGGGCTGAATTTTAGATGGGGCACAAGAAGGGATGGAGAGAAGGGAGGATGAGGAGGAGGTGGGAGATGCGATGGAGCGGTGGGAGGAAGGACACCGGGCGGTGGGTGCAGGGAGGGGCGGGGGAGGGCGGATGAGCGGCCGAGGGAGGGAGGGAGGGGGGGGCGATGAAGGGGGGGCGGCTGCGGGGATGCGGGGAAGGAGGACGGGGGGGCGGTGCGGGGCTCCGGGTGGGGCCGGGCGGGGCCCCCTCCCGCCGCTCAGATGACGCCGCTCCCGGGATGCGCCGGGCGGCGCCGGGCGTGGGCGGCGGCGGCGGAGAGCGACAGCGGCGGCGGCTCCGGGAGCGGCACCGGTACCGGCCCATGGCCCCGGAGCGGCCCTATGGAGCAGGTGGGAGCGGGACGGACCGGACGGGGCGCGGCGGGACGGGGCGGGGCCGGGCGGGGCGGGGCCGCACCCCGGGGCCGGACCGGAACCGGGACCGGGTCGCTTTCGTCCGTCCGCTGCCCCATAGCATCGCTTCCTCGGCACTCCCACCGGCTGTGCTCAGGACCCCCCCCACAAGCAGCCCACGTCCCGGCCCCACTGACAGCATCGCTTCCCCGGCAGCGCCCGGCCCCACGCGTGGGATCCAGGTGTCGGGGTGGGTCCGAGCCCCTCGCGTGATGAGGATGGGTGGGGGCTGCGGGGGATGGATGGGGGATACGGGGATGGGTGGGGGCTGCGGGGATGGGTGGGGGCTGCAGGGGATGGATGGGGGCTCGGGGTCGGTCCCGCTCTGCCCCAGGGTTCAGGTGTGTGTGGGGTGAGGTGGGAGGATGCGAGCAGCGGGTTTTGGGGAAGGGGTCCGTCCTGGGATGTCCCCTGTGGGGCGCGGAAAAAGCGTGGAGTGTGCGTGTGTGTGTGTGGGGGGTCCTTATGGGGCTGCGGCTGCTGGCGTTCCCAATCTGCTCCCGTTGTTATCTCCCAGCCAACGCCTCTGGGCGCCGTTCCGTTGCGGTTCCCGTGTGCGGCTGCTCGCGGCTCCCCGCGCTGTGGTTCCGGGGGGGGGGGGG